AACATGTGTGCAGTTGAAAAAAACAAACAAACAAACAAAACCTGCTATGAAATATTCCAAGCAATAACATCTCCACTGAGATGTGTGACACAGGGCATTGTGGGTGTGCTGAGATTGCTGGAATATTCTGGCACAACTGGTCCTTCTCAAACCTGCCACCTTTCTAAGAAAAGCAGTGTCATTTCTGGGGATAATTCACTCACATCTCAACCCTGAGCACAATAGAGATAAAGGTTACAGTCTGTACAAATACTGTCAGCAAGTCATATCTCATATCTCACAAGTCATATTTAATACTTGACTTATTTTAATTGATCCAATTGTGCCAACACTGCTAATAAAATGATACTAACACACATTTATTGAGTTATATAGGCTCATGTTTATCAGTTTATTATTTTTAGCACACTTCTCTAATGGTTCCTAATTGTGGATAATGATGCTAAGTAATCTGCTACAGTAATAAGCTCTGTAGCAGGCTGCAGAACTTAAAGAGGCTCCTCAGCTACATTAAGCACACTGAACTCTCTCTGCAAATGGATGTGTGTCAGTCAGGGACACTTCATAAATCTGTTCATCCACATTTAGTCCTGATTTAATCCTGGTTTAATCCTGCTTTAGTCCTGCTTGCTTTTTTCTTCTCTCATGTTCGCATGTAGTCTGATTCATCAACAGGTTTCACTTCAAGGAAACTGTCTGACCTCGCAGTGTTAGAATTCATTCGCTCGACAGTAGGCAGGTACTTTTTTTTATTTAACCAATCGCTGCTATTTGGTCATGACGCATGTACAGTCCCTAACAAAAGTCTTGACACTTGGGTACAAGTTGACCTTAAGTGCCCCTCAAATATATGTCTAATCTTTTTTTTTTTTTTTTTTTAACAAGAAATGGCTAATTTAATCCCAACAGCTTTTGAAATAATGTTTTGGTGTTCTAACGTTAACAGCTTGGTAAAGTCCATTGAGTCAGTTTGTGCAAAGACAAAAGTCTTGTCACCTTGCCATATGATGCACTCAGTCTTAGATTACAGCCTCATCTGTGATCAATAATTGATCAATCAATTAGTGGGTGTGTATAAAAAGAACCTCAGCACATCAGACTTTCACATCAACTGCAACTTGACCTCTGACAACATGCCTAAGATCCACCCTGAGACCACAGTGTTGGCTCAAGACCAGATCCACTGCTGAGGTGGTGACACCTTCAATGTGTCTCAGCATCAAGTACAAAGAATAAGAAAAAGAACTGAAGAGACTGGAGATGTTTTTGACAAGCCCAGGTCCAGCAGACCCCACAAGACAACTGCTCGGGAGGACTGTCTGTTGGCTCAAAAATCCAAGGCCCCTTTTCCACTGCAGCAGACTCCACCAGGCCTGGTCACCTCAAGTCCCTGTGTCAACCAGAACAGTTTGTAGAATTCTGTCTCGAAATGGCCTCTGTGGTCGAATCAGTGCACAGAAACCAGCACTAAACAAAAGAAGACAAAACCAAAGAATCTTGATGAACTCTGGGAGGTGTGTAAGTCTGCTTTCTTTGTTATTCAAACTCATGGAAGTCAGACAAGATATTAAATATGGATCTCACAGCACCACTACTTCATTCACTGATGTTATGCAACATATTTTTGTATTTGAAGTAAATTATTTGTTCAATTTTCACATGACACTCTGTAGGCGACAAAACTTTTGTCTTACCAAAATCTGACCTTTCTGTATTTATTAAATGATCAATCTTTCTTTAGTGAAGCAAATTTAGTTTTATATATTAAACATAATTTGGGAGGTTTTTAGCTTTTATATGAGCCATTTCTAAAACCAATGGATTAATTAAAAGTCAGATTATAAGATGTTGTTTCTACAAAATGGATAAAAGACAAGACTTTTTGCAAAAAGTCTACTGTATTCTGATTTCTGACCTAGTCGCTGGAGAGAAATGAAATTGAGCAGAGGCACTAGGTGGTGCCAGCCTGGCTAGCTCTCATGTTCTTGTTTCTTGTGACTGTTGGTTCATCTGTCTGTTATTGACCAATCACTGATTCGCTCTTGGATTTTCTGACTTTCTGTTGGATAAATCAGCTACTGGGACACAAGATACACCTCCAGTAAACCTGTATGTATGTGAAATACTTCTCAACTCATGTATGCCAACTTGTGTGTTCCAGAGATGTTGTTCACACTGACCCGTGGCATCTGCAGAGCCTCTCCTCTCCTCCGGACCACGGCACGTCCAGCCTCCTCTGCCCCATCACGGCTGCAGCCTCGGGGCAGCTCCACCTCTGAGGAGCTCTTCTCACTGGAGCACAAATATGGAGCACATATTTACCATCCGGTCCCTGTCATCCTGGACCGAGGTGAAGGTATGTACTCAGAATATTTAGTTCTGGCTAAATATCTGGAGGACTAAAGGGGAGACTGAGGGGGAGGAGGACTCAGGTGAAGAGTGATGTTTGTGAAAAGCATCCAGAGGAAAGAGCTGCATTTGTGGAGGGAAAAATGTCTGTGCTTTTCTCTCAACTGGATTTGATTTCTGTATTTTTAGACCGTTTTAGACCACAAATTAGCAAAAAAAAAATTCAAATTGTGAAAAAGAGCTGTTATTAACGCTTTTAAGGTGACTTTATTACTCACCTCTTGTAACGCTGTACGTTTAAACTGTAGCAGATCATTCCATCCATATTATCTATAGAATTTGTCCTCCGAAAACACCCAGTTCACAAAACAATTCTGTGAATCCAGTTTGAGGGGTTCTTTAAAAGTAAAAAGGTGAGAGTAGTTCCTCACGTATGTCTGTTTAGATCCACATAGTGCACAGATCGAGGTGAAGCTGCAGATTAGCAATAATGATTCTACTTCCTGTGGACCATCCGTGCATTATAAATCATGTGAATCATCTGAAGTATTGCACCACATTTCACAAATAATAGTAACAACTTTGTTTGAATTGCATCTAAACCAGAAGTGCAGTGCTCTGATCTTTTGAACTTTTCTTTTAAGAGTCTCAAAAAGAGTAATTTTACTCTAGAAAGGAAACAGGTGACGCGAGGTGCACTCACAACTGTGCAACAGTCTTTGCGGTCAGAGATTTAAAATCTTATAAGATTCTCCTCATGTCTGTGCTCTGTGCTTTTTGTCAGATGTTTAAAAATGACTTAAGACTGAAAAATCCTATAGTGTTTGTTGATTTTCTCTTCTGTCCAGAGGCAGAAGCACCACACCCATGTGGCTGTGTATACAGAGAAAGTTCAATTTGACAAACACACAACGCTACTCAACAGGTTTGGTTTTAGCCTACAGGCCAGAATACAAGAGCCATAATGCCTCTGACAGGGTCTACCATTAGGAGTGACAACTTTAGTCTTCACTGTGGACATGGCTGTCTTTCTCATATAAAGCTTCGTAATAATGGAGGCATAAGACTTGAAAAGTCTTCAAACAAGACAGGAGCAGGTGCTGTGATACTGGATGGGGTGAGGAAACATCAGAAGTGTGACAACACTAGGGAATCTTCAGGGGAATGTCTGTAGTGTATTTTATGCAAGTCTATCTAATCAGCAAGTCCACACACAAATCTTTCTCAGAGGGAGGCAGGAAGCTTCAGCGTGTCTTCTGTTGGCAGTTCCATGAGTTTCCAGCATCTGAACAGGATTCACTGGTCTGAGGTGTTCTCTTAAAGCTGTGCTCTGTGTGCCTACAGGAGTGTTTGTGTGGGATGTGGAGGGCCACCAGTACTATGACTTCCTGAGCGCCTGCAGCTCTCTGAACCACGGCCACAGACACCCAAGCATCCTGGCTGCTCTGCACGCCCAAACCTCCAAGCTCACCCAGACCTCCAGGGCCTTCCACAACAGCCTGTTGGGCCAGTACGAGGAATATATCTGCACACTGTTTGGGTACAACAAGGTTCTACCCACTAACACAGGTATGTACTCTTTAGGACAGAGCACTCTTTAGGACACAGTAGTCTTTAGGACACTTTTAGACACAATATGCTTTAGTTTAGTTTAGTTTATTTATTTATTAACTGAGACTGAGACCGCGCACAATCTACATTAACCTTATCAGGAGAGATGCTTTGTACCAGGTTGTAGCACCAGTGCTAATTTCCACCTGTTGTCTCTGGGCAGGTTGATGTTATAGTTCATAAAATCAAACATACAAAGAGAATGTCTTCATAATGACCGGATCATAACAATTCTGTAACATGATTCACACCCAGTACTCCCAGCACCTTAAAAACATCATCTTATCACAGACCTTAGAACACAGGACTCTCCAGACACTCATCAGTCCACATTATGGGTGCAGGTTTGGTTTGATTTTTTTTTTTTTCTTAATTTCAAAAGGATTCATCTTTATCTCTAGAGTAATTTTGACTGCAATTTGTTTTTGGAAAAGCATCTGCCAAGTTTAGTACAGAATTTTAAAAATAACCATTAAAATGTAGAGCCAAATCTATATGTTCATTTTGGATTATTCTGTTTATTTAAGTTGCAAATGTTAGAGTTAGTTTTCCTTCTTCCCAGTAATTTATCAATATTCCTCTATAGTTGTTTACTGTTGCCTTTTGCATTCTTAATTAGGTTTAGAAAAAAAAATGCTCTAGCTTTTCTGAGCTGTATTATGACTTTATTTCTCTAGCTTTTGTAGATATAATGATCAGGACACTTTAGGACAGAGTACGCTTTAGGACAGAGTACGCTTTAGGACACTTTAGGGCACAGTTCTCTTTAAGACACAGTTCTCTTTAGGACAGGGTTCTGCTCTACCACTAGGACATTAGACTGTGGGCCAGTGCTCTCATACTGAGGGTGATCTTGAGAGTCAGAGCAGAGCAGCAGTGTCACATGTACATTTCTCCACAGGCACAGAAGGAGGAGAGACAGCCTGTAAACTAGCACGAAGCTGGGCCTACAAAGTGAAGGGCGTCCCCAAATATGGAGCCAAAATCATATTTGCCCGTAAGTGTTTTCAAATGTTTGGTGGGACAGTAGCACAACGGTAGATACACCGAGGAGGCACTAGTTCATTACAGGAGTACAAATATGTGGCTTTCTCTGAGAGTCTTCATATTTCACTGCTAAATCTGGCTCAGATCTTCCTTAAACAGATTTAATCTCAAAGCACTAACATTAAAATGAGCACACATACTTGTATAATCCTCCAATCACGTGCCATCCAAAGGTACAAAGACAGGAGTGTGTCTAGGTTCCCTCAGCCCTATGTTCCCACATTTTCAAGTTTTTTTTTTTTTCTTTACAAAATTAGGCTCTATGTCCCTAAATGTCCTTTATCATCAGTTTGCATCAGATTTTATTCCCCTTTCTCCCAATCTGGTCATCAATTACAACCAACCTATTCTCCAGCAGCAGTTGACTGCAGATGTAATGCAGATGTAATGCAGAGGTCATGGTGCAAAGGATCCTAGGTTAAAATGACTCTGAATCATCCATTTAAATGTAGTATAAAATATAAATGGTTTCAATTAGAAATTAGAACTTAGAAATAAGAAAAATCTTGGAAATAAGGGAACATAGAGCTGTGGGAACATAGGGCTGACCCCACATGGACCAAGTTGCTGTAATTGTAAACTGTGTCATCAAAATGTAATTCACTGATTTGTTTTCAACCAAACTTCAGAGTAAAATGTAAATGTATGAGTGAAAGGGACTTGTGTTTGATTATCCTGTCCTTATGTCTGTCTCATGTCCTGTGTTCCATGTCCCAGTCCCTTTCCAATCTCCTCTCTCACATTATGTCCTATTTTCTCTGCCTCTCTGTCTTCTGTCCCATATCATATAGTCTGTTTTCCATGTCCTCTGCCCACTTTCTGTCCTCTTCATATCATGTCCTCTATGTCTCACCTCCTCTGTCTTTTCTCCTCTTGTCCCTGTGTCTCTTGTCCCTCTCCATGTGTGACCTTGTGCATGTCCATGGCCTGACCATGGCTCTGTGGTTTCTGACTCTCATGTTTTTTAAGTAGATTCTGTTGTGCCAGCGGGACACATTCCAGCTCAGTGATGTGTTCTGGTAAGGCTCCTGTGCACTGGTTTGTGTACATACTCTCTTCAGGGTTATAGTCTCACCACATGTAGCATTTATATATGACATTTATTTGGAAAAACAACATACACATGACTATGTTGTTGTGTCATTAGATAAACAGTTACATTTGTCTTTAATGAAACTGTCAGCTGGGTAAGGGGTTAGGTTGTGGGAAGGAAAGTTAGAGTTGTAATATTTTCTGTTTAAAAGCGCGCTACTTTTCTGGTTGAAAGTTTGGTACCTACCTGTCTCCATGGGGAATTAAGTTAAGCTCAAGTTATTGTAAAAGTCTGCATGAGAATGTATTAGTGTTTACTGCTGTCAAACGTTCCTTCTAAAGGTAACTTAGGCGTGTCCTGTTGCAGATGGGAACTTCTGGGGCCGCACTATGGCCGCCTTCTCCAGCTCCTCAGACGTGAGCAGCACAGAGGACTTTGGGCCCTTCATGCCTGGCTTCCAGCTCATCCCATACAACGACATCCCTGCCCTGGAGGTGAGCTCCAAACTTTGGTACAAAGTCATTAAGATCTACATCAGGTCTGAGTCATATGTCCCTGTACCCCCAGAGGGCGCTGCAGGATCCACACACCGCTGCCTTCATGGTGGAGCCCATCCAGGGTGATGGGGGGGTGGTGGTGCCTGACCCTGGATACCTGATCCAAATTCGACAGCTCTGCAACAAGCACAATGTAAGAGACACAACAGCAACCATTTTGTGCTTTAATTCAGCTAATACATCATACACATATTTGTGTTTTACAGACACAATGTGTTTTTGAACCTTTAAAGGTGCATTGTGTAACTTTTCTGGTAAAAGGTACTCAAGTCACTTACTTGTCTCCATGGAAATGTTATTGCTTTGTTTAGAATATTCTACAGTATGGCATTAAACTCTCAAGCAGGTGACACCAGAAGATAAGATATTTTAAGCAAAGAAATACCATGAAGACAAGCAGAAAAGCTGCACTGTGCACCTGTATAACTTTTATTTGTTAAGTAGGTTCTGGTTATCATTTCAAACTCTCTCCAAAGCAGAGCTGACCTGGAGCTGTGTTGTAGGTGCTGTGGATCGCAGACGAGGTGCAGACTGGCATGGGCAGGACCGGCCGCAGACTGGCTGTAGACCACGAGAACGTCCGCCCAGACATCCTGATCCTGGGCAAGTCTCTGTCCGGAGGAGTCTACCCTGTAAGCTCCCTATTCCTATTCTGTTCACAGCTACTGCTGCCGCTAATTGTGTTTTATGCTTCTGCACTTACGCTACTGTTGCCCTAAGAAACTGTGTGGATCAGTTTTATTTTTAGTTCAAATGAAACTAAATATTTATAAATGATACAGCCCTGGTCCGCTCGTTTGTAAGGGGATGACTCGAGCTGGGCCGGTGGGAGTGTGAAGCTGCTCACAGTGTTGTCTGTAGAGTTGCATGGGTAACTTGTGTGTGTGTGTGTGTGTGTGTGTGGCAGGTGTCGGCCGTGCTGTGTGATGACCACATCATGTCCACCATCAGGGTGGGGCAGTACGGCTCCACATTCGGGGGGAACCCTGTGGCGTGCCGTGTGGCCATGGCCGCTCTGCAGGTGATGGAGGAGGAGAAGCTGGCGGAGAACGCAGCCATCATGGGCCGAGTATTGCACAGCGGTCTGAGCAAACTGCCCAAAGACGTGGTCAAGGAAGTCAGAGGGAGAGGCCTCCTACAGGGACTGGTCATCAGAGAGACCAAAGGTACACACTGCAAAGTCTGGCTTATTTGGGCAGTCCAGGCTCATCAAAGCCTCAGTTTAGTTCCACCAAACGTGGCTACCCGGCTAACCAGAGTTGACTCTTAGATGCATTGGTTTGTATCTGGCTCATAGTATGGGGATTATTGAAAAGTAGTCAGTTCAAGTCCATGTGTTATTATATTATCATTAAAAAACACTTCAAAATACAGTGTGGGAAAAAAAAATGTTTAGACTAGTCAACTAATGAAAAATGAACCACTGACCACTGAAAGAATGGTTAGCTGCAGCCTTATAAGTCACTCACTTGTGCACGTCCTGCAGAGGGACTACAGCTAACATCGTTTGCTGGCTCTGCCGTTTCAGATTGGGATGCTTGGAAGGTGTGTCTGCGTCTCCGTGACAACGGACTGTTGGCCAAAAACACCAGTCACGGCTCGGTGATCCGCCTGGCCCCACCCCTCATCATCAAGGAGCATGAGATGCAGGAGTGTGTGGACATCATCCAGAGGACCATCATGTCCTTCTGAGGCCTCGTCCGCACACAGAGACATGCACATATGCACATATTTAAATGGTCCAATGGGTCAAAGCAAGGTGTTTTTATACAAGACTTTATACAGGAAGACTAAGGTTCATTCATCCTGGTATTTCACAGCTTGCAGAGGGTCCACGCTCTGTGTTTACCCCATGTGGAGGCCCTCTTGCTGACTTTTTCACTGTTGCACTTTGTCCATTTTTTGGTGAATTGTCACTGACTTCAAAATAGTGGTTGTTGAATATACCAAAGAACAAAGGAGTGGAGCTGCTTCTGTTCTGAATCCACAAGAGAATGTGATGAGGGAAGTGTAGTGACACTTACATGTAAAGGCATGACAGGTTTTCATGTTTTTCTAATTCTGACTTGGTTTGCTGGTGCTAACGATTTTTAAGAGTTTTACATCAGTTAAATGTCCGTTTGTGGAAAAAGAAGGAATAGACTGTATATAGACATAGTAGATAACCCAGTAGCCACAGCATTCCAAATATGAAGTTCGACTCTGATCGATACTGATCCTGGCTCCCACGGACTTACATTGGAATACTGTCGCCCCTCTCTCTGTAACTGCTGCTGTGAGCCTCATCATATTGGTCTTAAAATATTCGTATTAACCCGCTCTACATGATCCTGGTGTTTTTCATTTAGCTATTTTGTTTGAGTGGAGCTGGACACTGTCGGTGATGTCACACTCGCTTAGTCCACTTTATATAGACTATGGAGGGAAGTAGCAGTGAGTTCTAAAACTGAGATAGAAATGTAATCTATTATGACAGTAATTTAGACAAGTTTTGGCCCTTGTTGCCTCATGATGGTAACAGTTCTGGAAGTATTTCTACATAGAGTGTGTCTCTTAAGCTGCATGTCCAATCAGGAAGTCAAATGATAACATCACTAGTTTAGTGAAGTTTAACTGTGAAATGAGTCAAAGCTGACATATGCACTTAAAGGTATGACAGTGTATAATGTTAAGACATTTATATCCCGCTCAGTCAGGGAGGCAGCTGTCCTCCGTCTTTGAGCACATGCTGTTGTTGAACTTATGGTAAGCAAACGTCCCTATTTACCCAGGACAGTCCCAGTTTTGAGCCTGTGTCCCCTATCCCAGCAGATTTAAACAAAACCACAGATTTGTCCCAGTTTTATACAAGAAACAACCCCGGGGTCCCTATTTTTGATAAATTTGATCCCTGCCAACAGTAAAAAGAGGCATACATTGTCATTTGTTTAGGTAAAATACAGTAAAATGGGTTAGGGTTAGAAAAAAATGTGACTATACTGACTCACATGTTTGTCATGAATAAGTCATGAATGGTCTCTGCAGAGCAATTTTCCTTAATTATGCACTCGTTTCACAATTTTATTATTACCAACCACCAAAGAAACAGAATGTCCCAGTTTTTTTTATTTTGAAATTCTGGTCACCCTAGCTGAACCTGCTGTAATTTTCCATTGCTTAACACACTGCTTGGCCAAAAGGCACATTGATAACTGCAGAATCCATTAATGTGGGAGTTTACTTTTATTTAAACAATATAAGGGAATATATTTTAGTACAAAACTTAATAATAAGTGCATGTACAGGAGGTGGCTAACTCAGGGTTACTGCATGTTTATGTTATAACGGGTAGCAAAATTGTAATCTTCTTGTATGATTTTGTGAAATAAACAAAATGTAAGTGCTTCAGTTGTTTTTGTGCACACTTGGGCACTACCAGAGGACAGTGACCCCGGGGCAGTTGGTCAGATCTGTCTTGGAGGGGTAGACCACCTTCAGGCTGCCGTCTGGGTCCACTGTCCGCACCTGCTGCACTATCAGCTCAGTGGTGGAGCTGTCAGAGGGGGTGTGGCCTTCCCCATCTGACCCCGCCTCTTCTGCATGTTCGGATGTAAACCGGTTGAGCTCGCACATTTTCTGTGAAGCAGGAGGAGGGCTTAGGTTAGCGCAATGTACAGAAAATTTGACTATCAAATAATTTTAAAAACATAGTTTTGTTCCCTTCCTCTGTAATCATTCTGTCATTATGCCAAGTTTGGGATTTACCCTCTAAAAGGCTTAAAACTACCATCTGTAATCAGACTGGCCAAGCCTGTTATATTCTCACATATCACCACTAGATGCCATCTATGTTACTGCTGTATAACAGTGTGCCAGCTTTGACCTGACAGAATAGAAAAGAGCACAGGTGAACCTGAACAAAGGCCAGGCAAGGAACGGGAAGAGGGGTCAGGTGATAAATCTACTGCCATCTACTGGTAAAAAGTAATTAAATAAACTTAAGGAGGGTATCTTTACTAAAAACTGCAGAATTGATCAGCCTTGTCTCTGCATAGTCAATTTCATTATAAGCAGCAGATAATCATTTTACGTGTCTTTACTGTGGACCAATGGAGTCTGAACTTTTTCAATAAGTGCAAGTAAACATGAAAAAGTGGGTGAGGATGAGGGGTAGGTGAACCCAGCGCTCAAGCCTCTACCACACGATTATACAAACATGAATGATATCAATCCATCCAATGTGTAACTTTGTGTTATTGCTTTGGCTGGAAGGTTCCACCGTCTGACATTAAATGTTTCTGTCATTTATGTCAGTGCAGTTTTTTTTATTACTCAAAAATACCTTGAAAACACCCAGTTTTACTGTGTCACTGCTGCACAGATCTGACACTTCCTGATGGCACCTGAAGTTTACAGGTTTATTGCCATACTGCTGAACATTCCAGGTAAAGCAAAAACATCTCCTTGGAAACAAGCAGGTGGTGGACCCCCCACCAGAAAAGTTTCATAGTGCAACTTTAACTATATTAGACATTATAAACTAATTTGAGAAATGTGTAACAGGAACAAACAAAAGTATCAAACAAAACAAACAGGCAAATAACATTACCATGTTAAAGCAGGTTTATTCAGCAAATAGAACTTTCCAGAGCTTTTAACCATGTTACACAGTTGTTTCCTTCTCATTGACCCTCTGACGTTGTATTTGAACTGATTCATGCATGTTTGAGTCATCTTTATTCTCTTGTATTCAAGACATCATTGCTCAAATGATTGTGCTCCTATTGGACACCAAAGTTTTCTAATGCACAAGTCAGTGGACTTGTTTCTTTTTAAGTTTTATATCAATATTCCAGTTGAAATGTGCATTATTGTGTGGTACACATGTGCAGAGCCATAAGAGCTACTACACCTATTCTATTGTTTTTAGCAGAAAAACACAACGTACCAGAATGAGAGCGTCCATGACATCTTTACAGGTCTGCAGACTGGTGGCACTGGTCACCTCCACAAACAGCTCTGACGTCGTCTTACTGATCTGGACAATGCAAAATGATAGAAACTTCAGACTCTCTCAAATACTGTGCCCTCCATCAGCATGAAGAACCTGGCAGAAGTTGGTCTGAAACACCAGTGCTAATAGTTATTTGTTATTTTAACAAATGACAGCATCTTGTAGCTATAGGGGAAAAAAAGAAAAACTATATTTTTTTAAATGAAACAGGATCTTTGTTTAGTAATGGAGATGTCTGTACCTGAACTGTGGACAGGAGGAAGGATCATTATAAAGCTTAGCTGGAAGTTAGCTGGGTCAAGCAAACCTAATTACCACATTTTATGAGGTGGAAGGAACTATACTCACAGAAATACTTTCAGTATTTGAAATGCCCAAATTATTACTTATCCTTTACTGGCTAGGACTTCATCATAACAAAAAAAGCTATACTTAAGGTTTAGGTGCAGAGAGCAGCTGCAGATGATGTGAGGCTCATTCTGCTTTCCAATTGGATAATCATAATGACCAAAACACCAAATCAACAGCTTTGTCATCATGTCCAATATTTTTGTAATTAAGAATACATCTACATTACAATGGTTAGTTTGATCTGAGTGTGTTTAGGACAGAGAGAGGTCATGAGTGAGGGGTGAGGGTCTGGAGGACTAAAGGGGAGAGTGAAGGGGGAGGGACTGTCTCACCTTGGTGTGCTCGCTGTTGGTGATGGGGGGGAAGGACACCACCCTCCCCTCAGCGTCCATCAGACAGGGGTACAGAGGTTTCCCGTCCAGGAGCTGCAGGTACCTGGGTCACACGGTCAAACGGTTAGTCCACTTTCCCTTTAAACTGCAGAGATCTAGACCCACTTAAACCGGAACAACCCAAACTGTATAATAATGCAGCATGGATCAGTGTTGGCTGAAACAGTACATTTTTAGTTATTTTAGAGTAACTTCATTTAACTGATTTAAGAAACTCCACAACTAACAGAAAACTGCATTGCATCGAGAAGCCTGTCCAGCACCGCCCTCTTGTGTTCACACCACGCAGCTACACCGAGGACACAGCAGGGAGACAGCAGCTGCTCACTTCTGTTTTTTTTTTTCAAGCAACAGCTGAGCGTGGGACTGACACTAGTAGAACATGCAGCAGGTTAGTGTGAGATGACAGTAGTATAACATGGAGCAGGTTGGTGGGAGATGAGAGTAGTAGAACATGCAGCAGGTTTGTGGGACTGACAGGAGTAGAACATGCAGCAGATTTGTGGGACTGACAGTGGTAAAACATGCAGCAGGTTGGTGGGAGATGACAGCAGTAGAACATGCAGCAAGTTTGTGGGACTGACAGGAGTAGAACATGCAGCAGGTTGGTGGGACTGACAGTAGTAGAACATGCAGCAGGTTTGTGGGACTGACAGGAGTAGAACATGCAGCAGGTTGGTGGGACTGACAGTAGTAGAACATGCAGCAGGTTGGTGGGAGACTGACAGTGGTAAAACATGCAGCAGGTTGGTGGGAGATGACAGCAGTAGAACATGCAGCAGGTTGGTGGGACTGACAGTAGTAGAACATGCAGCAAGTTGTTGGGACTGACAGTAGTAGAACATGCAGCAGGTTGGTGGGACTGACAGTAGTAGAACATGCAGCAGGTTGGTGGGAGATGACAGCAGTAGAACATGCAGCAGGTTGGTGGGACTGACAGCAGTAGAACATGCAGCAGGTTGGTGGGACTGACAGTAGTAGAACATGCAGCAGGTTGGTGGGACTGACAGTAGTAGAACATGCAGCAGGTTGGTGGGACTGACAGTGGTAGAACATGCAGCAGGTTGGTGGGACTGACTTGTGGAGGCCTGTGACGTTCTGCCTCTTCTTCTGCTTCCTGAGCTCCTCTGCCTCCAGGTGCAGGTGTCTGATGAGCTCCACGGCGCTCATCTCCTTCCGCCCCAGTGCTGTGATCTGGGACACACACAAACTACATGAAACCTGCACTACTGGAGTTTTTTTGCATTCTACTTTGTTTTAAAGGTACAGTTCAGAATTTTGGACATAGGGTCTCATTTCCCATTGAGCCAGAGTACTGAGGATATGCGGACACACTTTTTGAAATAACCCATCCAGTCCTTGGATGCTCGGTTGTTGATGCTAGGCTAGTGCAAGTCAAAGGCCACTGTTATCCTGCCACTAAAAACAGTTTTACCCACTCCACAAAACACTCGAGGCAAATCTACTATTACGCCAGACTGTCCATGTGCGTAAATGTCTGTGTTAGAATAGAATAATGTTTAAAATAAAAAGAACCTTGCATTGCATGAATTGTCACATGTTGAGAGACTATTTTCTCATATATCAGTCCGCCGCTGCTGAGCTTTCTAAGTACAACTCACTGCTCACACATAAATCCTTCAAATGCAAGGTTGGTTTTACTTCTAAAATTATTCTATCGACACACACATTTACATCGATAATCTGGAGTAATAATAGATTTGCTTCGGGTGTTTTGGGGAGTGGGTAAAACTGTTTTTAGTGGCAGGATAACAGTGGCCTTTGACTTGCACTAGCCTAGCACCAGCGACCTCTGCAAATACAAGGACTGGATGGAATATTTCAAAAAGTGTGTCCGCATATCCTCAGTACTCTGGCTCAATGGGAAATGAAGCCCTATGTTCAAAATTCCGAACTGTCCCTTTAAGTCCGACCTGGGCACCATACAGCTCCCGGGGCACATACAGCTCTTTGATTGACTGTCCAACGCCTTTAAGTTAATTTGGAATTACAAAATAAATATATTTTATAAATTTACCTGATGCATGGACTAAAGCTGCATTGCTTTTACTTTAGAGGCAACAGTGAACAACAATCTCATTTATAATTGGACAATATGAAAGCTTTGGTTAGACTCTCAGACCCTCAGACTCTCAGAAACTGCTGGACGCTTGTAGACTCTCTGATATTTTTTGCCTGTGTGTCACCCTGATGTTTTGAATCCATGCTGTAGCATCATTAAATGTACTGCAGAACGATCTCTGTGCCTCTGTGGCTGTTTTTTCCTTTTGCAAAGATACAACAGAAACACATCAACACAACCTCACTTTTTCATTGCTTCGTCATAACATAAACTCTTACCAGTCTGAGCAGCTCCTTAAAACAATGCTATTTACTGCTTTTTATAAAGAAATACAATTAATATTATGCAGAACTGATTTAAACATTTTGGTGTTGACAATATTTTCTGTTTCTAATGTAGCGCCATTGAAAAAATAATTGTCCATCCCTGTTTTAAGTGAACCAGGTACTGTATGGTTCACCACCTGCTCGTCTCCAAGCAGATGTTGTGGCTTTGTACCTGGAATGTAAGGGCATTAAAGTCATCTGTCTCCATGGAAACAAACTGATGACGCCACCAGGACAAGTAACAGGTCAGATTTGTGGAGAAGCGAGGGTACAGTCTACAGTCGCCTACAGTGTTTTGCCAAGTGAATTCTGAGAAATAAAAACACAGTTAATTGAAGAATACCTATTGTATTCGTGTCTGCTCTGAAGTTATAATCTATGACACCCGTAGAACATTGTGTTATCATTTGGACATTTTAAATCACAATATTGATTTAAAATGACTAAATAAAAGAAACAAGCCAGCTGGGTTGTGTTGGAAAATTTCAGTGCCCAATGGGAGCTGATATCGGCGTAAACGTCATCACAGCAAAGCGCCGCATGCAGTGGGCCCATCCTATGCTGCCCTACAAAGGCAGAACGCTGTAACATCATGTTTGGTCAAAAATGAGTTAACGTCAATTTGTTTTGTTTGTGATTTAGTTAATTATATTTTATTTTAAAATCCAACCTGTCGCCTCCTTGGCACAGGGTCTGAACACATTCAATAAATAAACCTTTGTATTCAATTATACTTCATTGACCGTTAATGTGAAAGTATCTGGTGTATTTCTTCATACTGTACACATTATACTGCAAAATCACTTGTGTGTCAAACTGTTTAACTGTGTGAAATCCAAAGCTCCTCTTCATTATATCAAACAAACACATGATGAATTCACCTTGGTGAGGTGTTCTTATAATGGATGGAAGTCTGGGCAAAATCAAGAAAAATCATGATCATGTCAGTTACTGTCTGTCTTTTGCCTTTGTATAACTCCTTATTTTTGGCTCATGATACAAAGGCAGAGAACAGGAACTGACAAATAAGGTCAAAGATCAATTTTGAGCTCAGTATTTTTCACAATCAAATATTTCTTCATTATAGCAACTAGCTGTCAAATTTTGGGAGCCCTACCTATTATACTTTTGTCTGGACAAAACAGAAACTTTGAAATCATTTTTCTCAGTTTCTGACTCTGGCGAGTAAAGTTTTTTTGCCTTTGTAGGGCAATGGATAACTGCACATCACAGAAGTGAGCAGACGGTTTTAATTTTCATAAACAGTGATGACTCAAATATGCACAAATCACTCCAAATACAACTTCAGAGGGTTAATGAGAAGAAATTATTATAACATGGTTAAAAGCTCTAAACTAAAAAGTCAATTTTGCAAAATAGGTCCACTCTAAACAAATGTTTTAAATTTAATGCCATACTACAGAACATTCCAGCCAAAGCAATAACGTCTCCATAAAGAGCAATAACCCCCCCCCCAACCCAAACTCCATTACCCCAACATTATTTATAACAGGATACTTATGGGTAATAGGTTTGATGTAACAGTTTGTAACAATCTTTGACTGGAGCTGTTTGGGTGCATAGAATAGAGACCAGCTGGATTACATTTAAAATATGGATTTGATTATTTGACCTGGTTAAATAAAAATATTATAATTAAATAAAACTGGCGTGTGTGGGTCTACCTTTAGCTGGGTTGGGGGTTTGACTCCGTAGGTCAGCGGGCCTTTGAGCAGGCGAACATCATGAGTGGCGATGGTAGCAGTGGTCCTCTTCCCACACACGTCTTCATGGAGCTTATTCTACAAATGTAAGAGATTTATCAAAAGTACTTGCTTATGCGTGTGTACCAGTCAGCACTCGGCCTTTTGGAGCTAAATATACTGCATTTGTGATATTTGTGATTTTTGTTTTAAGCATGTCGTACTATTTCTATCACATATGAGGGCAGCAGTTCAATTGCCACACATAAACATGGTACATAATGTCCTGCCTTGCCCATGGGTAGAACACTTCATGCTGGACTACCTTGTGTTACTTCATTGCTTTTGTCTGCAATGTTAAAGTGAAGCGCAAATAAGTTGTAAGTAACCAGCTCCTCACGACTGAAAATCTAATGCTCAGCGTTGTTACGGCTCGCAGCCCGGGTCTGCCTCGCCCAGCGCTCCCCGTTTGTTTTGCCACTTGTTCCTTCCGTATCTGCATATGCCGAGTGGTACCTGGCGCCTGATTGGTGGCGTGTGGTCCCGTCGCTGTTGGGCTGGCTCCGATGTTCGTTGTGCCTGGTTGGAGGATTGATGTCCCGCTCCTCCAATCCCCTTCCTACACATCCCATCGCCTCGTCCAATAAAAGTGCTATGCGCCTGTCCCTCCTAGCGGCTGGATGTCAGTTTCAGTTCACCACTCTCGATGATAGACGTGTCTTTGGTTGCCTCCCCTTGCTGTTACAACTTGTGTATTGTGACTGTAGAGGTTGTTATTGACCTAATATTTGTTTGCTTTGTTTAGTTGTATTGGGAATTTTTGGATTTATCTTGTGTAAAACATCTTCTTTTTGTTATTATACTTACTTATGTTTACTTTATAAAAGCCACTTATATTACATCACATCTTGTTCGTGTTACTTTCCTTGTCCCTAGCCCTGAATCGTAGCAGCATAAATAAGGTGAACTTTATCGATGTCAGAAGGGTGCTTGTTTGTATGACAGCTATTTTCATGAGCAGCTACAAAGTTCTAAATTACTAGACACTCTTGAACACCTCTTAGCCCCCTCTACACCTGTCCAATCACAGCCGCTCATTTGTATCACATGTCTCTGAAATGCACAAGATGTCTCCTCTGCAAAAATCTGGATCTTTCACAGCTAAAACGATCACATCTTTTAGAGAGAAACAAGAGTTCTGTGCTTCTGTTGATTCCGCACACATCTGGCATTTTTCAGTCCTTACATGTCATTTTTAAGTGCAAACCGGCATCTTTGCTTTTACCCGAACAACCCATGCCTCTCTGATTGGTTTAATCCACCTGTCAATCACACCTATCTGAAATTGAGGAGACAGGATACAGCTCCAGACCCACTCCTCTTTGTAAAGTTTTGTGAAAGCATGTGGTTCTGACTTGTCTGGGGTAATTTAACTGTACTAGGCGTGCATAAAGAGTTGTAAAAATTAACTGACATTAAACACATTACATCCAAGATGTACCTGGGCCATGAGGAACCTCTTGAGGGCGTTGCCGGGGCGGAGGTTGAGCCCGCGCACCAGGCAGCAGACCAGGTACGGCCGCACGTCCCTGACCTCGGGGCTGACGGTCACGGTGAGGCCGGGCGGGGCCGAGGACACATGCAGCACACGCACCAGCATTTGAGCCACATCCTCCACATCGTCCACCTCCTCGGGCTGGGGAAGGGGACACTGACATTTGACAGCGAGTAGTGATTAGAGTACATGTTACAAGATCATTTGATTAGAGAGTTCAAATAAAGGTTAAACATATAAATAACATTAGGATAACATACAACATAAATAAAAGAATTATAGTAGCAAACACAATTGAAACAAAGACAGGGTATACTGTAATGCAAAATCGATTTTTTGGAGCGTTGTTCTCTAGTCAAAAAGAGGTTTTAGATCCATGCATGTTTGAGTAATCCAGTGATCTCTCTCAAACCCACTTTACATTAAACACTAAGGTTTTCTGCAATGCTCAGATTACAAGCCCACATCACCATGCTCCAACACTACAATTCTCCACAAATATACAAAAGTATGATCAGTGTTAAGAAGTAACTGCATACATGTACTGATAAGACATTCTCAATACTAATTTTGAGTAACTATATTCAGGTAAAGTTACTTTTTCATTTGGTGGTATTCAGAATATAAATGCTTTTCTCAAATCAAACGTAATACATAGCAGTACATGATTAAACAAAAATATTAAATTAAACAAAAGTGAGAAAAATACTGCTCTTGTTTTTTTCTTTCTTTGATCAGTGATAAATGCAGAACAAATGATGAAACAAACATAAGCCTAATGTTGCGTATTTACTCAATAATTTAAATGTAACTCTGATTGGACCATGTATCAGAATACATTACAAAATACATTTTAATTCAGGTACTCAGCAAACTAAATATATGTTCAAAATATTCTCCCTATCACTGAACATGATATAAAACTGTAAGTAACAACTTCACAATCCTGATGCAATGTGCAGTAGTTTTATTAGCGAACAAATTTTTCTAAAAAAATAAGTAACATGATGATCTAAATACGTTATGTTAGCAGTTAATGTCCAATTGAAGTAAAATAGCCTCTCATTAAGTAAATTATTGAATAGAAAATAATAAGTATAATAATAATACAGTCATCTATTTGACAGTGAGAAACACAGGGAGGGCATCTGACACAAAGGGGCAGTTCAGAACATGTTTACAGAGATCAAAACTACACGGTTATCTCATGTGTGTACCTCTGGCGCTCGGCCCTTCTTCTTGCTTTGGGGGCCTTTCTTAGTCTTCTCTGCGTTGCGGGGCCCATTGCTGCCCCCCTCTGGCACCGCGCGGGCCTTCCCTCTGAGGTACTCCAGTACAGACTTGGTCTGACACCCGTTCACCATCTTCTCCAGGCGCCGGTCCCGCAGTTTGTTCCCTGCAAAGAAACCATTCTGCTTTATAGAAACTACTTTTGCACACTACAGCACTGGTATTTTCAGATGAGATTTTTAGATGGTTAAGTGAGTTATATGACTGAGTGCAGGTAGTGTATGACAATGAAAATACACTCCTGAATCTTGACTCTTTTGATGAGGGAGCATCACTAGCACATGGTTATAGTCAGGTCTGAAAGTAGTCTTTTGCCTGTACTATTAGGCCTACATTTTTAAATTATGGACACACACCCAGTCGGTTAAGATATGATTTGGGTAGAATGAAAAGCCTAATCAGTTTAAATTGTACATCAGTTGGTTTTCCATTAGTGTTGCTTTGGCTACAGTGATCATCACCACTGGGAGTATGAGGCCGTTCTTTAATCCTACAGAAGCTGCACAGATTGTCCACTTCTTCAGGATGGCACATCCGGACATGCTGTTACAAGGAGATTTAATCTGTCTCCCATCACAATCTCCAAAACACAGAGAAGATTTCAGGAGACAGGCAGTTCCTCTAGGAGTGCTGGGTGGATCATGTTTTGATCCACCCATGTAATAACTTTTCCATATTGAGCCACCAGGATAAACTGCTTCAGACAATTGACGCATGTGGACTTTAAAACAGCCCTGAGACAAAACAAGGAACTCTTGGGGGGACTATGAGGACTACATTCTCAGTGCCTATTATACCCTCTCTTACCTGGGGGATGGGGGATTTCTGTGAGCATAACACTTCCTTACGGACACACAGGTCTGAGGAAAAACGGGCAGTGTATTATATAATAAAAAAATACACAGTCTAACACAGAAATAAATGTAATTAAGTGGTTTCAATTATGGTGGAGTTTAGACTTAATGATTCCAGTGGGACTACTTTTCTGTGCGTAAGGTTCGGCAGCATGTTGTCTCCCTGCCTTCCGGTGCAGCGTACCACCACCAAATCTTTTAGGGTTACGCTGTACAGGACGGTAAGTGTTTTCTTTCACCCCTGGTTATAGTGTGTACTCATTCATAAGAACCTTTAAAGTTGATCTCCTTGAGTTTGGGGCAGTCACTCAGAGCTGGAGGGATCTCACTCAGCTTGTTGTTGGACAGGTCCAAGGTCTAAGAAGAGATAGAACATATTTTCTGGTGAACAAAAACACAATGCATTCTGACATTCTGGAAAAAATGTTGCTTTAAATAGTAGAAAAGTCTATAGTATACATGTGATCATCATGATTAATATCGCTATTCCTGACTTTCACCTAGTCCTGTTCAGTGCAAATGTTTTCATCCTGTGACAAGCTTTAAGTTAGTATCAGTATTACTAGTAATAGACTGTTTTCACATCAGCACATTATAGAATCCCAGTAGATTCAATAGTTTAAAGTGAGGCAGTGTAACAAAAGCTCTCAAAACTGCACTCACAAGACTACACCTGAGTTCAAGCAAAAACTACTATTTATGCAAAAAAAAAGAACAGGGACTTTATATAAAGACAGACTCAACTTGTGATCCATCGACCGACTAAACGATTAAAGATTAAAGGACTAAAGAACTAATAAGCTACAGGTCTGCTTGATACTATTGCAAAACTGCAAAGATCAGTTGTTTTTTTTAACCCAATCTGACCAGAAAGAGCCAAAAGAGTGAGATTATTTTGTACTGTTAAATAAATCTCTCACATAAAATTACAGTGACAAGGTAGTTAGCATTAGCCAGCAAGTTTTCAGTTACTCACTGTCAACATTTTTGCTGAAAATCAAACACCTAAATTCAAATTGATCACAAGTGAAAATGTGTTGTTTAAATCTATTTGTTATTTTTTCTTGAGTTTTAAAACTTTTTGACTGTGTTTGCTAATGTGTGACATTGTGTCACCACAGTAACTGATGAACATTCCACCATAGGAATACATGTTGAACACCCCAGTGTGATGTCACTGCAAAGCATCAATTCACTCTAAAGCTCCCAGAAGAGTCCCCAGTTGCAGACCTTGAGGGCAGGCAGCCGGTGGACCTCCGGGCTGAGCTCCTGGAGGAGGTTGTCTGATGCCAGCACAGTGCTGAGCAGCTCCAGCTTGTCAGAGCACAGGTCAGAGGGCAGGCTGCTCAGGCGGTTCTTGGACACGTTGAGAGTGGACAGTTTGGGGCACTGGCTCAGTCCCTCAGGTAGGGTCTCCAGATGGTTACAGCTCAGGTTCAGAGTGGTGAGCTCCTTCAGGCCGCACACACCCTCCGGTAAGGACCCAAGCTCATTCACAGACAGGTCCAGGACTTTCAGTGCCTGATGACAGTTACACACCAATGAAAGAAACACAAATGATACATCTTTGGGAAACTTTAGAAAGTAGAAACTGATTTGAAGAAGTGCCAATACAAGAAAAAAAAAATCAAACTAGACAAAATTTGATCTTTCATGAACAGTTTAAGAATAGTGTGCTTTAGTAAAAAGGAAAGTAGTAATTATCATTATGGTATTAGTATTGAGGATCAATACGGTTATTTCTTATTATTGAAATCAAATTTGAAATGTTAGTATTCTTGGTATTGTGATGACAATATACCCTTGTCTTAAAAAAAATTTACGTTTTATAACATTTTGAATATAATAGCCTATTAAAGAAAAGATGGGGCATTACAACTAAGGCTGCGTTCACACTTGTCCTGGTTTGAGCCCAGTTTAGCCCTGATGTAAAGCAAACCACAAGTTTAAGCAGCAGGTTTAAGTATTCAAAATAATGTTATCCTACTCACAATAACATTTGCCATTAGGTCCTTGTAGCAAGTTAGAGCAGTGATATTGCTTCCCTTGTATTAGGGTAATTGCATGTTGTATTCTAAATGATACTGTTCAGTGTTTGCCTTTAGTGCCTTTTATATTTTAAGTGTGTTTTTGGTGTCGAGTACAGTGGGGTTGTATGTTCAGCATTACATGCCCAAGAAAAAGTACCCATACCTTACTTGGTTTGGTCCTGGTTTGGTCCTGGTTTAGTCCTGGTCCAGTCCTGGTCTGGTCCAAATTTAACTGCACGTTTGATGTGGTGTGTCAACATGTTCTGTGCAAGTGTGAATACGTACTGAAAAAGGACATATGTACCAGGGGTATCAGAATCAGAACTAAATCAGGGCTAAACCGAAAACAAAGAAGCAGTAAATCAGTACTGAACCAAACATCAGGCATTGTATTCACACTTGTGTTTATAAAGTCCTAAACTGAGCCCATTTTAGTCCGGATGTGGACTGATGTTTGTTTTTGTTTGTTGTTCAGTAGTAAACCTGGATTTAACAGGTACTTAACTTGGACTAAACGGGTAGCTCAGGATTAGAAAAGGTCCAAACTAAGGAAGATTAAAGGTGCATTGTGTAACTTTTCTACAGGAGGGTCCATCACCTGCTAAACAAGCAGGTGAATATGTCTTTGCTCTGCCTGGAATATTCCACAGAGTGACATTAAACAACTCTACCTTACATTCATTCACTTAAAGGTGGTTTTATAGCTCGAAAATACTATAATAATGGCTGTGAGAGGTGTTACCTGTACATACTAAACCAGACCAAGTTGACTTGAAACTTGGTCTGGTTTAGTCTCCATGAAGATAAAAAGCTTAATGCCATGAAACATTCTAGACAAACCAATAACATCTCAACAGAAAAAGCATTTGTTGGACCGTCCACCAGAAAAGTTACACAATGCGCCTTTAAAGGGTGTATATTAAGCTATTTTCTAATTTATGTTACAATGTTTTTGTTTCGTTTTGTTTAGTTCACACATGGTTAATCAATCAGAAAGCGCTCTATTCCACCTTGTGATGTCATGTGGTAAAACAGGAAGTGCTCTACTGGACTGTCCTGTAAGCGTCAATGGTTTAATCAAGACTGAACCAAAACTAAGTCGGGAACAAAAAAAGTAGTGCATCAAACCAGGACCTGAGCCCATGTAGAACAAAGTCTAAACTAAGTCTAAATCAGAAATGAAGACCAAACCTGACCAGCTAACAGCCCTATGGACCTTTGCCCTGCACACGCAGACAGGTCTCTACCTGCAAAGTGTCCACTCGGGGGACGGAGACCAGCTTGTTCCTGCACAGCACCAGGCTCTGCAGGTTGATCAGGAGGCGGATGTCCTCATGGAGCTGCGTGAGGCTGGGACACTGGGACACCTCCAGGTAGTTCAGTAGAGTGAGGGAGTAGACCGCAGAGGACAGTCCCCCCGCGGCGGACACCCTCCTGTCCACGGCCGGGCCCTGCAGCACCAGCTCACGCCTCTTTTCCGAAGCTGCCTTCTCGATTTCAGGCCATTCGTGTCCATCTCCTCCTCCACTGGCCATGCTGCTGCTGCTGCTGCTCAGGAGCTGCTGAGAGGACGCACAAGTACGTCACTTCCGTAAACCAAACGACAACTTTAAAGTTTTTTTTTTTTTTATGTGAAAACTGTATCTCAGATATTTTATTACATGTTGCATTGGACTAAAGAACAAAACTTTAATATTGCAAATAGCGTGGGTAAAAAAAATAATAAAAATTAAATAAAAATCACAATCCACTATGGTATGGATTGTCATACTTTTTGTCCCTGAGGAGATTCCGTAATCACCGATCATCCTCTTTTTTCTTTATTTTTTAAGTACATTCTGCATAACAATGTGTAGTTTTACTGGAAGTTTTTGTAAGACGTTTGTAATAGAGGCTACGGCTTATATTGCTGCTTTACACGTTGGTTTTACGCGTTGGATAGTGGAGCTAGCTAACGCTGTGAATGCGCATGCGCTTGTATTGTTGTCACCGGTGGTTATGGAGACGACATGGACGTGCGAACTGTCCAATGTGATCTGATGTTTGTGGTAAGAGACACGCTTCTACGACTTGTCCCACACGACCAGGGCTAGAGCAGAAAAAGAACTAAACTATACCGTGGCGTGCGTAATTTGTCAGGGCGCAGGGCAGGTTTTCTCCAGAGCCACAGAGCAGAGTTTCCCGTTAGCTATAATGTCCCCCGCCCATGTAAAGACAGAAAGACACACGGAGCTCTGTGTAGACTGTGTCCATGTTGTATTACTTGTCAGAGTTCTTCCAGGACTTGTGCATTAATGTTATTCCTTCAGATCTGCTGTTTTTCCCGTAGAGGAGGACAGAAAGACACTGAGCCCACCTGTTGAAAGATTAGAGCTATTTCTTCAGAATGCACAATGCAGTCACAAGGTACTCTCACCTGTTTCATGGAAAATTAAACTCCTAAAACAGGATCATTTGTATTTTTTCTTGAGTTTTTAGACCCTTAAAACTTTTCGGCAGCGTTTGATAATGTGTATGTTTTGTCACCACGGTAACCGCTGAACATTCCATCATAGGCATACAGGTAGAATATACCCAGCCTGATGTCACTGCAAAGTATCAATAGGCCTTTATGATTTTGTTAAAGGTGCACTGTGTAACCCAAAGACCAACAGTCCCCAACCTTTTTCTTTCAGTGAGCTACCTTTACAAAACAAAAATGCCAGAGAGCTCAAAATTTTAGCCGTCACAAAAAAAATTTTGTATAACTAAGACCCATGGCAAGCCTTAGATGGGGAACAGTTTACATGGCTATAAAACATAAACCATGGTCTATTTATCAGTGCAAAGTTGGGCATCAAATTTATACATTTATAATGGTAATTGATCAAATTTTACTTATTTAGTACAATAGAATTCAGAAATCCCCTGGTGAGCTACTTCGAAGGAAGTGGAGAGCTGCTGGTAGTTCTCGAGCTGCATAGACTACTGTGGAAAGAAGTGGACTAAGGGAGTGTGACGTCAACCACAGCGCTCGGCTCCAGTCAGATGAAGTTCATGAGGCTAGCTGTTACAGAGCTGTGCCCCCAGATATAGCTGTCCTAGAGCTGTTTTACAAGAATGTATGTTTTATTTTTATTTATCCCGATTACAACACTCAATATTTTGTCAATCCATCAAGAATGTTCTACAGCTGGGCTGTAACTGTTGTAACTGAAGTTGAAGCAATGCACAAAGCGTGAATGGACTGTTTTGTTTTGTTGTTTTTTTTATGTCTATACTATTGTAAATAGTTTGCAATCGACTACGTACACAATATTCTCCATGGAAATGCGCCCTCCTGGAGATCATCTACATATCAAGATGAAAACAGTGAAATGAAATTCTGTGCACTCCTGCCCTCCCTAGTTTAGCAGTGACAACTCTCATGTAACTTGTATATTTATAAAATGCTCCAAAGAGTCCAGACATCGTGGACAGGACTTTTATCACAAATTAGCTTTTTCAACATTTGTACCTTAGATATTGTCCCAGGAATGCCCAGGAAGATCGGATTCACTGTGGTAAACTCTTCCAGTCATGAGGAGAGCTACAGCGCCCAGGAACTGAAGGTGCACGTGCCCACAGCCAAAGGATGGAGGTCCAGCAGGTAGAACCACCTCTGCACCACCTCTTTACCACCTCTTTACCACCTCTTTACCACCCCTCCATCACCCCTCCACCACCTCTCCACCACCTCTCCACCACCACTCCACCACCACTTGTGATGAGTTGTGATTAGATTTGTAATTTCAGATCGATTCGCAGTAAACAAACCCATTAGAAACAGTGTCATTTGAGAGAAGATATTCAGTGCTGAACTAATACAAGAATGCCATGCATTCCATGTTTGTAGAGGTCTAAACTACAAGGTGAACATATTTTATATATAGATCATTGTGATAATCATTGAAATTTCTTGCAATTCTCTTCTACATGCTTTATTATGTAGTATATCAATCAAATATCGATAAATACACTGCAAGACGGGAAAATTACCAAACAAAATAAACTATAAAAGGTTAGTATAAAGGTCATATTCCAGTCCTAACTCTGTTCCCTGGACCACTCCAGGCTGTGCTCGTACCCCCAGACTCTCACACTGCAGCTGGAGGAGAGGAGCCGTGTGAGGAAATTACAGCTGCTGGCGCATCAGTATATGATCCCATCCAGAGTGGATTTCCACATCGGGGACAGCCTGCCCACCAGCAGCCCCCTGCGCAAACTCGGGTAAAGACCAGACCTGACCAGGGACTCGGTAACAAAAACCTCCAAGGAACATGTGACAAAGGTTAAAGTGGAACTATTATGCAAAATCAACTTTTTGTTCTAACTTAGTTACTCCCTCATCAAAAACATGTCTGAAGAGGTTTTAGATGTCATCCATGCATGTTTGAGTATTTTAGTGTCCTTCTCGGCCCTATTCGAACCTTCCCTCTGTATCTGTATGATTCTGTCCAGTGCTCAGCCTTTTTTTTTTTTTTTTATCAATATACAAAATAAGAAGTTAGTTAGTTGAAGAATGTTAGAAGAACAGTATTTTAGCAAAGGTAATGTAGTGTGTTAGACTTGACTTTAGAGTCCAGTAACATCATGGTAATAAGTTAGAAATAATGTGTCTGTCCAGCCCAGACTCCAGGCTTTTTCTTTACAAAGACGGCATTATGATGACAGTCATTGTTTTCAAGTCTCCTTTCCATTTGATGATGAAGTTTTAAGATTTTCCTCATAAGACTTGACATCACAAGAGCAATTTAGTAAATACCATGATGACACTGTGTGTGCAGGTACGTGTCTCTGTCTGATAACCAACAGACAGGCTTCAAAGCACGGGAACTGAAGTCTGTGCACGTGGACGCCATCGGAACTCACCTGAGGATAACCCTGCACCAGAACCATGTGAACCCTCACAACCGCTACAACCAGGTACTCCCACAACCTCTACAAACAGGTACTCCCACAACCGCTACAAACAGGTACTCCCACAACCGCTACAAACAGGTACTCCCACAACCGCTACAAACAGGTATTCCCACAACAGCTTCAACTAGGTACTCCCACAACTGCTACAATAAGTTTTTATTATGAGTTAATAAAAAAAAAATGTAATTGTCCCTCTGGAGAACAATCTTGTGATGTTTTTCTTTTGTTATCTACCAGAGAAGTAGGATAATTTGCCATAGAACCAATGTTTTTACTGAAATATTAAAATACTAATTAAGAAAAATTTTATGATTTGAAAATGGCCATAAATTAAAAAATGTGAGCGAATTGTGTATGTTTTTAATCATGTCTAAGCTTTGTCTCCTCATTGAACATGGTAGAGGTGTCATGTTATACAGTAGAATTGTTCAAAAGAAACAGAAAACACACACCAAAATTCTTGTAGAGGTGCCAATGCAAGAAACCGCAAGACAAAAGTGAAAAAATGTATAGCACACTCAGACAGCCAATGTCCAAAAGCTTTTTAAAAAAAAATTTAAATAACATTTTGGCAAAAAAGCCTTCATCAGATATTTTTCTTGCTTTGGACCACTGTATACAGTAGAATTGTTCTCATAAATGGTGAGAAAATGATTTGATCTTGTTTTGTTGTGTTGCAGGTTGCTTTGGTTGCCATCAATGTCCTGGGCGACTCATTGGATGGGAACGTCTTCAACACAATAGTAAGAAATGTCACCACATTACAGCATGTCATACTACTGCTCACCTGTAGAGGGCACACTAACACTATTATTATTGATGTTTTCAAGCACAGTACATTAACAGAGGAGTATTAATTAGGGCTGTGAAGATATCCAGTTGTCACGGCATGATATTATCACAATATGCATCTCGCTGTACAGAAATGTAGATAGAATACTTATTGCTTTTAAAATACTTTGATGACAAGACTTTGGTGCAAATCATTACTGTCATAATCCCAAGAATTCAAGGAAAAAACATATTTCTTCATGTTGTCTGCACTGAAATGAATCATAGTATGTGTGATTCTCTATGTTTATTAGCTGTTCCTACTATAAAACAATGCATTTAAACAAAGAAATATGCGATTCGATATATTGTGACAGCCCACGATATTATTGAGAGACTTTTGACGATACGATATCTCGATATTTTGGTTATTGTTACATCCCCAATATTAATAAAAGTACAGTATGTAGCCTGCGCTCTTCTTTCAGATCAGAACTTGGAACTGACAGCCCAGATGAGGGACTAATGTGAGGCTCACTTTGATTAGATAATCATCTTGAGGATCAACACATCTAATTATGATTTAGGTAACAGTATTTTAAAGGTCCTGTATTAGGCAAAATTCACTGTTGTTAGCTTTTAGTCATGTTAGAAGGTTGTGCCTCCTCAAAAACATACCTGGAGTTGTGTTTTAATTGAGTCACCCTTTAGTCTGTTTACACCTCCAAAGCTCAAAAATGCTCTATTCCATCCTAGAATGTCCTGATGTTTTCAGCTCCTTTTAGCTTTTATTCAGTAGAGATTCAGGTCTGAAATTATTCAACTGATTCTACTGAAGGTGTATGTAGTTTAAAAACACAGTGGAGCACTTCCTGTATTACCGCATTACATCATAAAGTGGATCAGTGTGTTTTCTTTTTGAGAGAAGAACTCACAGGGTTACGCAGGAATCCATGTATCTTGTTTTTGTTTTTCAAATTAAAACCAAAAGTAAGGAAATGAAAAAACAACAATTTTCTTTCCAAAATGAAAAAAACGGATGACGATTTTTTTTTTTTCAGTTTTCGATTTTGTGTTTAAATGAATAATGTTTTATCCAATTTTAACCATGGATCTATAATAAAAACTGGAGATGCCGGACTTTTGAGCCGCATATGGACTGAACTAAGACTGAACCAGGACTGAACCAGGACTAAACCAGGTCTAATCCCAGGACTAAACCAGGAACTAAACCAGGACTAAACCAGGTTTAATCCCAGGACTAAACCAGGAGGACTAAACCAGGACTAAACCAGGTCTAATCCCAGGACTAAACCAGGACTAAACTAGGACTGAACCAGGACTAACCCAGGACTGATCCCAGGACTTAACCAGGGGGACTAAACCAGGACTAAACCAGGACTGAACCAGCACTAACCCAGGACTGATCCCAGGACTAAACCAGGACTAAACCAGGACTGAACCAGGATTAACCCAGGACTGATCCCAGGACTAAACCAAGACTAAACCAGGAGTAAACCAGGAGGACTAAACCAGGAGTAAAGCGGTACTGAACCAGGACTGACTGATGTTTTTTTTTCGTTTTCATACTTATGGTTTTATTTTTAAAAGCAAATGATACATGGATTTGTAGGGTTTGTGTGTTTGTGTGTGAATGAAACAAAACACAACTCCAGGTCTGTTTGTGATGAGAAAACAACATTATAGAGAGATACAGGGATCAGAAAATCGCGTAATAATGACGCTTTAAGAATGTTTTGGCTTTTCTTTTCACTCTGGATTTTTCTTTGGTCACTTGTAGAAGCATGTTAAATAATCGCTGCCTTCATGATTTGCTGCTTATGACCACTCAGACGGCGCTGTATTAGTCTGTGAACAACTACTCGAGTACATGTACCTGGTGGTGATAGTCTGTGCTTTCCTGTTACTACTCGAGTACAAGTACATGGCGGTGATAGTGGTCTGTGTGTTCCTGTTACTACTCGAGTACAAATACGTGGTCGTGGTAGTGGTCTCTGCATTCCTCTTTCTACTCGAGTACAAGTATGTGGTGGTGGTAGTAGTCTGTATGCATCCCTGTTACTACTCGAGTACAAGTACCACCTGGTGGTGGTGGTCTGTGCGTTCCTGTTACTACTCGAGTACAAATACCTGGTGGTGGTGGTGGTCTGTGCGTTCCTGTTACTGCTCGAGTACAAGTACGTGGTGGTAGTGGTCTGTGCGTTCCTCTTATTACTCGAGTACAAGTATGTGGTGGCGGTAGTGGTCTCTGTGTTCCTGTTACTACTCGAGTACAAGTACGTGGTAGTGGTAGTGGTCTGTGCATTCCTCTTTCTACTCGAGTAAGAGTACCTAGTGATAGTCTGTGCATTCCTGTTACTACTCAAGTACAAGTACCTGGTGGTAGTGGTCTGTGCGTTCCTCTTACTGCTCGAGTACAAGTACCTGTGTGGTAGTCTGTTCGTTCCTGTTACTACTCAAGTACAAGAGCCTGGTCATAGTCTGTGTGTTCCCGTTACTACTCGAATACAAGTACGTGGTGGTAATGGTCTCTGCGTTTCTCTTACTACTCGAGGACAAGTACCTGTGATTGGTTGAGTGTGCCGCTGGAGAGTGTGTGGGAGGAATGCGCAGCACACTGGCTCCTCAGTGGCTCCTCAGTGGCTCCTCAGTGGCTCCTCAGTGGCTCGTCAGTGGCCCCTCGGTGGCTGTGTAAGGGGATCCAGCGCAGACGGACAGCTCCTGGAGGAAGGTGCGCACAGATCAGCGCCTTGGCACCCATCTCCACCCAACAGCGAGGGCATTGTTAGCATGCTAATCCCACCGTGAGCTCGTGCAGGCGGGGTTACCTCTGGGGCTGTGGGCCACCTGCTCCGGGGGAAGTGCCCAGACGAGGGAGCGCGAGCAAAAATATACTCGAGTAAATGTACTGCTACTTGAAAAGGAAGGCTGAGAGTTGATTGACATACGTAGCATTCTGAATTTACAGTTAAGGAAAAGTAAATTTACATTTCTAACCCTAAACCAGGAGGACTAAACCAGGACTAAACCAGGACTAAACCAGAACTGAACCGGGACTGAACCAGGACTAAACCAGGACTTGATCCCAGGACTAAACCTGGAGGACTAAATCAGGACTGAACCAGGACTGAACCGGGACTGAACCGGGACTGAACCAGGACTGAACCAGGACTGATCCCAGGACTAAACCAGGAGGACTAAACCGGGACTAAACCGGGACTAGGCCAGGACTGAACCAGGACTGATGTGGGTTTTTTTTCATTTTCTTACTTCTGGTTTTATTTTGAAAAACAAATGAGCAAATGATACATGGATTTGTAGGGTTTGTGTGTTTGTGTGTGAATGAAACAAAACGCAACTCCAGGTCTGTTTGTGATGAGAAAACACATTATAGGGAGATACAGGGATCAGAAAATTGCGTAATAATGACACAATTTCTAAACAAATGGCTCACGTGGTAGAGTAGATGTCGAGCTGTTGTTACTGTTGTTGTGTCCTGAGGCAAGACAGTTCAACTAGCCTGATTCATCAGCTGGTTTCACTTCGTAGAAACCAACCAGCTAACGGGGTTAACTGGTATATTAAGCTTTTCCCAAATCCCGTAGAAAGAAGGGTAATAACATCTTTCCCCTTGATAAAATTCACCAAACATTCTCTTTGTTCCAACTTTAAATCTTCGACCTTGGGCCAACACAAAATATCGACTCAAAATATCGGCTCTTTGCCGATTGGCCGGTGCCCGGACTCGCACCTCTGTGGTTCTTGCAAACCGTCCAGACTCTAGTGTATTCCGATTCCTGACCTAGTCGCTGGAGAGAAATGAAATTGAGTGGAGGCACTAGTTGGTGACAGTCTGGCTACACTTCAACTGCCTTACCTGTGTGAATGTGGTGTGTGAACTTAGTCCTGGTTAGTGCTTAGATGGGAAACTGCTGGAAATAAAACAGTGAAACAGCAGTGGTCTGTCCTTTTTTCATTTTGTCCAGTTTTTTTTTTTTTTTTTTGCACTGCCGTAGTCTCTGTGTGTCCCCATGTGTCATCGGTGTTGCCAGATTGATCTTCTTTTGACTATGTTGGGCAGATTTTGTTTTTACACCAATTAATGTGAGAAACCGTAAGGGACTTTCACTCCTGTCCAGTCTTATGGAGGTGCTCAGACCTATGCACAAGTAAATCAATAGCTGAGGCTATAACCGATCACTGATGATATTTATTTTTATGCGTGATGACCCTGGCAATGTTTTTAAAAAGCCAATAGATTATAGTACAACATTTACTCAAATATTACAATATAACATTTTTCTGCGATAAATGAAAATGTTGCTCTACATTTAACATGTTTTCTCAATACTGGCAATGTTTTTAAAAAGCCAAACAATGGATTACGTACATTTATTCAAAGATTAAATGTTTTCTACGACAAAACGTTGTTGGGCATTTTTTGCTGAATCACTAAACCCAATCTGGCAACATGGTGTGTCATTATAGTTTCCTCAGTGCATCAGATTTGTCTTTTTCAGAAGACTCATGAGTGAAAATATGAATTTATATCCCAGATAAATACATCTTATTATTATTATTATTATTATTATTATTTGAGTTAATTTGCAAACTTCACTAAGGATTAACATAAATTTGGTTTGTAGTAAAGATAAATATTGGTAAATATCGGTTATTGGCCACAACAACAAGACAAATATTGTATATCGGCTTAAAGAAATCCATTTTGAATTTTACCGGTCCATATCGGTCCCTAATTTCAACCAGCTTGCCTATATCTACAGTATATGAATGTGGTGTGTGAATGTGAGAGTGATTCTTAAGCTCATCATATTTGCTAACGAGTATTAAGAGCCTGCAGGATTTGTGATGTTTGATGAGATCAGACTAACATGTATTGTCTAATTAACAGTTAAGGCCTGCTATATTGTTGGTGTTATTTGTCCCATGC